CCGAAAAAGACGTGTCGCTGGATACGGGGGACCCACTTCAAACGTTGCTGGATGCCGAGCCAACCGACCTGTCAGTCAGTGTTGTTCCGACGCCTTCTCCTAGCATCCCCGATGACACTGCACGATCGTCACCACCTGGTCCGCCTGCCCCTCCAACTGATTCCACAACGTGCTCCAGAGATACGAAGTGAGGGCGAAGATGGCGTACTGGTGTATGTGAACCGGCTGTTGAAGCGTGTCACCGAACCTGCAGGTACCACCTCTGCCTTGACATCGCATTCATACCGGCGTGAAGGAGCGCAGCACGCGAATGGAGACAACCATCTTGCTGCACAGTGGATTTTTGATCGCGGTGTCTGGGATATGACGAAGACAAACAAGGCCTTCGCCTACATCACTAATACAGCACGAGAGGCCAGAAACGTTATAAGGGTCTTGAGCGGCTGGGGGGGGGGGGAGAGAAATCTTTGAATAATTGGGTTTGTTGAATCAAAGTTTTGCTATGGATGCAAAAAAAACTTTTTTTACGATCAAGGCACTGCAATACAAACGAACGCAACCTGTAATAATCTGCAAGTACACAAGCAGAGTACACAGCCGTTATCAGTTAAGTCCGAGTGCAGAGAGAGAGAGCAAGCCGTCATATACATACGTACCAGATGTGCTATGGAGCTCCACAGCCAACCATTGCATGTTCCAGGACCGCCGGCAGCGCGATCTAAGGTAGACTGTTAGCGCAGGGAACTTAACGAGATCAATGCCAGTTTACAATTTACCTTCACAAAAAGAAGTCCAACAGCAGTTCTTACACAACCCGACTAATTTTATGGCAGTCAAAAGTTGTGTCTACCCAATTTAGGACTTGTGGGCGTCGACATTATTGTAGCACTGCATATCAGAAAGAAGAGGAATACCTGTTCTGCTCCTTTGTCAAATCAAAGGGGCGTCAGTACTAGAGGTGAATATCCAAGGTCGCTGCAATAATAGCCTCATGCATTGTGTAAGGTAAACAACTGCGGGTGCTAATTATTATATGTTATTCTAGCACTGTTCACCTGTTAAGTGCCTGTGATCCCCGCTGGCCTGTTGTCAGTATTGTTCAGCTGTTAGTTGTTCTCGTTTCTGAGTACCCGGATAAAGAATAATCGTTTTGGTAGTTTTGTGGAAGGTGCAGGCGTGCTGTGACTGACATACGGACTTAGCTGTCATACTGTGACGGTTTAAAACTTGAGTCGCAGCGAATACGAAGTTGCAGTGTTGATTATATTGCGAAAGTAAAACTGGTCTGTCTAGTCTAACTTGCGATCGCTGTAGCCTGCAACCTTGGCGTTTGCTTCCAAGAGGAAATTCATCAGCAGCTGTAACCTCGCACGTGTTTTTTATGATGCGGCTGAACGGTGTTCACACTAACATCATGCTGGTGTTGGCAATCTGCTTCACTATGCTCCATCAGAGATCACTCCAAGTGTGCTAGCTGCGGGATGGAGGAGCTGATACAAAATGTATACACCACCGTCACTCGGTGTCGGCTCAGGAAGACTCAAACTCCCATGTAATAGGTTGCTTGCTGAAGCAAATGTGCAAGTCGCTAGTTCGGAGATGATGCTATCTATCAGCATGTCCGATCAAAGGGTAAGTAGCCAAAACCTCTCGTTAGGTGGTGTTTTCCTCAGCTCCTACGGTCACAAATAGCAGAAATTAACTATATACTCGTAACGAGAAGCTTACGAGAAGCTCGTGAGATTGAGTTCAATTCATATCACCTTGTCGACATGTTAGTGCGTATTGCATGAAGTTGGTACTCACCTCGAGTTACAAGACTTCTTCAGACTCACGGAATCGATATGTCTGGGACAGTCCCGTGTATGCTGTACTGATTCCCTGTTGCTGTGCAACAGGTCACCAGGGAGGACAACAGGCCAGCAGGGGATGTAAAGGACCAACAGTCAGCAGGGGCAGAGCAACAGGTATTAATTATTTCCAACAACGGC